GCCCAAGCCACCTCAACTGGCTCCTCTCGATGTGGAGAAGCAGCGGCTCTACTCCGAGTCCCTCCCGGATGATCGAGCTTCTCACCCTGTCTCTAAGGGAGAGCCCAGACACCCTGCGGAGAAAACTCATTTCGGCCGCTTGTATCCGAGATCTCATTCTTTCGGTCACAACCCAAAGCTCGTGACCATAGATGAGGGTGGGAACGTAGATCGATCGGTAAATTGAGAGCTTCGCCTTTTGACTCAGCTCTCTCTTCACCACGACAGACCTGTACAGCGCCCGCTTCACTGCAGACGCTGCACCTATCCGCCTATCGATCTCACGCTCCATTTTTCCCTCATTCGTGAACAAGACCCCAAGATACTTGAACTCCTCCACTTGGGGTAGGACCTCCTCCCTGACCCAGAGAGGGCACTCTACCCTTTTCCGGCTCAAGACCATGGCCTCGGATTTGGAGGAACTGATCTTCATCCCGGCCGCATCGCATTCGGCTGCGAACCGCTCCAGCGAAAGCTGTAGATCACGATCTGATGAAGCCAATAAGACCACATCATCTGCAAAAAGCAGAGACGCAATTCTGAGGCCACCAAAACGGATCCCCTCAACACCTTGGCTGCGCCTAGAAATTCTGTCCATAAAAGTTATGAACAGAATCGGTGACAAAGGGCAACCTTGGCGGAGTCCAACTCTCACCGGGAACAAGCCCGACTTACTGCCGGCGATGCGGACCAGGCTCTGACACCGGTCATACAGGGACCTAACAGCCCGTATCAAAGGGCCTGGTACCCCATACTCCCAGAGTACCCCCCACAGGGCCCCCCGAGGGACGCGGTCGAAAGCCTTCTCCAAGTCCACAAAACACATGTAGACTGGTTGGGCAAACTCCCACGCACCCTCCAGGACCCTGATGAGAGTGTAGAGCTGGTCCAGTGTTCCACGGCCAGGACGAAAACCGCACTGTTCCTCCTGAATTCGAGGTTCGACTATCCGACGGACCCTCCTCTCCAGAACCCCCGAATAGACCTTACCAGGGAGGCTTAAGAGCGTGATTCCCCTGTAGTTGGAACACACTCTACGGTCCCCCTTTTTGAATAGGGGGACCACCACCCCGGTCTGCCAATCCAGGGGAACTTCCCCCGATGTCCACGCAACATTGCAGAGTCGCGTAAGCCAACACAACCCTACAACATCCAGAGCCCTAAGGAACTCTGGGCGGATCTCATCCACCCCCGGGGCCCTGCCACCGAGGAGCTTTTTAACCACCTCGGTGACCTCAGCACCAGAGATTGGAGGGCCCGACCCAGAGTCCCCAGGCTCCGCTTACGCAGTGGAAGACGTGCCGGTGGGATTGAGGAGGTCTTCAAAGTATTCCGCCCACCGACCCACAACATCCCGAGTTGAGGTCAGCAGCAAACCACTCCCACTATAAACAGTGTTGGTGGCATACCGCTTCCCCCCCCTGAGACGCCGGATGGTGGACCAGAAACGTCTCGAAGCCGTGCGGAAGTCGTTCTCCATGGCCTCTCCGAACTCCTCCCATGCCCGAGTTTTTGCCTCAGCAACCACCCGAGCCGCATGTCGCTTGGACTGCCGGTACCCATCAGCTGCTTCCAGGGTCCCACAGGCCAAAAAGGCCCGATAGGACTCCTTCTTCAGCCTGACAGCATCCCTCACCGACGGTGTCCACCATCGGGTTCGAGGGTTGCCGCCCCGACAGGCACCGACAACCTTGCGGGGTGATTCAATTATAAAATTAAAATCCCATCTTTATAGACATTTCAAAAGCCATTGGGTCTTAAGAAAACCTGTGCTAATGGTAACAACTTTAGCATCACTGATTTTTTTTGTTGTGACATAAGTTGACAAAGCAGCTGAATTCACATTTTTTCCTAATCACTGGTAGTCACCAATGTCTAATATATTTAAACATGTATCTAGTTTAAAAAAACGTGACAGCCACAGCCAGTATTGTCAATGACTGTTTATGCGTTTGCTAAATTTAACATGGATCTCTTTTTAAACGTACTCAAAAGCGTTTGTTGTCCTGATCTCGGCTGGACTTGAGGACACAGACCAGGAGCAGCTATGAGTAACTGAGCAGGAGTAATGAGGCATTACAATCACACCAGAAGCCTCGTGCCTCAAATGCCTCAAGCAGAGTTCATAAATCACAACACGTGCTAATCTAGGGTCTAGACTACTAGTCCAGACACTGTGACACACTTCTCAACTTCACATTAAAACAAAGCAATCTTACAGGTAGAGCTAAAAACTGCACTCAACTGGTGGGAAATGTAAAAGACTTGGACCAATAATGAGATATCAGGGGGAAACTAACATTCTTTTCTATGCTACTATTCTAAATGCATGTCTGCTTTCTGAGGCTGTATAACATGCACCTGTAATGCCACATTCTTAAAGAAATTATCCCCTCAGAAATAGCTATGCAAGTAATAGGGGCTTCTAAAACTGCCACATAAAAGCTGGCGTGGGCCTGAATTATGGCCTGCAATGTGACGAACCACACCAAGCTGCTGCTGGTTAGTTGGTTGGTTGGTGGGCCACAGCCAGTTGCCATATGCTGCTGCCGTCAGGTGGCCCTGCATGAGGAATATTATACGGTGTGAGCGCACGTCTGTGTGCATGTGTGTTCATGTGTCTGAGTGAGAGTGGGGTAAAGTTTTGGGTAAATCGATGCAGGTGGCACTTTTAACATCGCCCTTCCTCCTCCCATTTCACAAGTTTTCTAAAGTGGTTGAGAGCAGAGGAGCAGGCATTGATTGAGTATGGAATAAAAGGCCTAATTTAACCAGCTGAGACCAGTTACAAAGTGACCATGAGGGTTGAGAGGTGGAGGAGCAGGGTGGCTGCAGTGGCATATGTTTGCTTCTACAGGTATTCTTGATTTAAAAAGTAGAAGAAAGAGAGACTTGATTGGTAACTCTAAATTGTCTCTAGGTGTGAGTGAGAGAGTGAATGGTTGTTTGTCTCTTTGTGGCCCTGTGATGGACTGGAGACCTGTCCAGGGTGTAGCCCGCCCCTCGCTTTTTTTGGTCCTGATTGATTTTAAGGGGGGATGCCTTCACAACTATTGCACATCAACTTTTTTTTTTTTGCCAGACTGACAGATTTATCGCCTATAATGACTATTTCATTCAAAGGGATTATATTTACAGGATTTCAGCTCATGTAGTCATTTAATACAATTTATTGTTCATTTTTGATCATTTATTAAATTACATTCATCACAGTAGTTACCTCTCAGTATGGTTCTAAATATAATCAAGTTTAGCTCATCCAAACAGACAAAATACATTGTTACTGCAAAAATACTGCATAGAATTGAATTTTGCAGATATTTATGATAAAATATAAACACCTGAAACTGACTCTCAATGAGAACTTTGTGAGTGTGGGGGTAAAATTAAAGCTAAATGGGGACACACATCTCTGCTATAATCTGGGGCTTTATAAATATTTGTTTTTTAGCGTTAATATTTTTTATTATCTGATTGTATGATTGTTTTATTATGTGAACTGTATGTGTACAACTTTTATTATGTGACTTTTAATCATTTTAATCGCTTTTATTATCTGACTGTATGACTGTTTTATTATGTGTACAGCACTTTGGTCCTGTGAGTGTTTAAAGTGCTCTATAAATAAAGGTGGTATGGTATGATTAATATTGTTTAATTATAAAAACTAAAGCAGCAGAAACAGCTTGTCTCATTGTGAGACTCAGGCTGAGCATGCAAGGGCGCTCTCTCGGACTAAAGAGTTTGGTCACATGTGAAAGTTGCACATGTCTGCATGATGATGACACTCCAAACACATTAACTTTTAATACAAAGAGATTTTTAAAACAAAAGTCTCGGGGAGGGCAGGGTGCAGTGTGGAGGAGGGGTGGGGTGACAGTGTATCAGTTCTGGTAGCTCCCCCGAGACTTGAAATTTCTTGTGATAGAAAGAGAAAAATAAACTGTTCAGACATTTGTAATCCCTCCTTGAGGCAGAGCAGAAAACTTGAGTATGGATTGAGGAAGGGACAAAAAGAGCAGAGGGAACCAGGTCGTAAGAACAAGCTAAAATAGTTGTTTTTTTTCATAAGACTTCTAGGTGCCGTTTGTCAACAGGTAACCACCAGCTGACAGATTATTTGTCTGGAGAAGAAGTCAGGAGAGTCAGAACCATCTGCAGTTCTTTGACAGGTTTAAGTTCAAACTAATAGGAGGAAATAGATTCCCAAGGTGGAGATCTGGCACAGGTTTTCTGCTTTAACAGGCACTTTGACTGCAAGGTGTGAGAGAGGGGGCACAGGTTGAGCGTGCGTGTGTGCGTGCGTGCTTTCCAAAAGCAGCAAGTTACTGAAGGTGGTGATTGAGTGGATTATGTTTTGGGTTTTTTTTTGCTTCATAATATGGACTAAACACAAGACGAAGACATTCACATGCTGGAAGAAGATCAAAGCAAAAACTTCATTTTAAGAAAACTTCAGTGGTGCAACGATATATAGATTTTATTTAAAAAGCATAGTTCACTGGAATATACTCAACAGTAAAAATAAAACTAAACTCTATGATCCCCCCCCCCACACACACACACACACACACAATGAAACCAGACCACTGATCCTCTAATATGGCCTTCATGTGATTCTCTCTCCATCAAGCAGCACTCCTTCCATCCACCTCCCTGCACTTTTTATTTCTGTAATGGTAATCACTTCTGATAGTCCAGGTTACTTATTATTAATCTGACTTTTTCATAGTCACATCTCATCTTTGTCTATTTTCATAAATAACAGAAATTTACTTAAACATTTCTCATTTTATTTTTTAATTTCCTTCAACCACATTGCTGTTTTTCAAGCTGTAGAAAATAAGAATCATGGAGAACCTGTACCCAATTAAACTAATGCAACGCAACACACACGATACAAACAGCGCACAGCTTTGTGCAGTACGTTGTTGAGTATACTTCAAATGTTACAAACTCACCACAATGCAGGCGTCTGAATGAGCTTCCCATAGACTGCGGTGCTGAAGGAGGGGATGATGGAGATGGGCGGTAAGAAGCAGCCTGTGCTGTCTTGGCATGTCAAGCCTGCCTGGAATCCAAACACCTGCAAACACATTTAAAACGACAAATGCTGCAAAAATTAAATTAAAATTATATTAGTAAAATCTCAACGTTTTAAAGACTGCATAGTTTGCATAACACACATTTGCTGTAAAAATAAAACAATCTAATTCAGTGGTTTCCTCACCACATGCAGGTAATCGTTAAACTTGGTGCTGGCTTCAAGCTAAACTAAACAAAAAGATTTGCTTGTTTCAAAGTGTGCATGGAGTTTTAATAGCTTAGGATTAAAGCTGTGTGTACTAATATTTGCAGAGTTACTCAAAGCTTAAAAAAATGAATGAACTAACAAAAACAAACAGAATTTTAAAGTGTTTTCCATTTTTTTGCTGCAGTCTATGTGCTAACAGCAGACATGTGCTCAGAATAGGCTGCTGGTTTGTTGTAGATTTTTCATTCAGCTTTCAGTAACGATGCACGCACAGTGTGAACAGCAGATTTGTTGTTCAGAGGACTCGATGCAAATTTAAATACTTGTACGCCCATTATCTTAGGATTCTTATATTTTGTTTCTATCTTGCTTTCCACTTACATGTTCCAAATGTAACGCGATAAAAAGTTAATCTTTAAAAAGCTTTATTCACCACTTAACACTGAGTGAATGAAAAACATTATTTGTTTCCTAACTTTTTTTTGTAAGCCATGGGTGTCATTTTATTGACTTCTTTTAATTTGTGGGTCAACGCTGTTGAGATGAAAATACTCACAGGGCAAAAAAAATTGAAATCATAAAAGCAGCATCCATATTTTGGGGAATTTTATTGTAGAACTCACTGTGAACAACATTTAGAAGAAAGGACAAACATTTACTAATTGTGGTGGAGAATGAATTCTAAATTGTTGTAGATTCAAAACATAAATACCTGCATGCATGTGTTAATGGAGTGTATGCATGTAGAATGTATGGATGCATACATTTATAAATTTTAAAAATTTTAATATACATTTTAATTTTTTTTTTTTATTATTTTTTGTTCATTAGAAACAATCACAAAAAGGGAATAAATTGAAGTACTGAAAATCAAAGAGCTAGCAGTCGCTCAGACACATTTATTTAGGTTTGAAGTGACTTTTTAAGTTGAACAATTTTTATGTACACTCTGCTACTTTATATTCCTTTAAAAATGTCCCATTTCCTTCTATAGATTATACTGTAAGATCAACTGGAAATTATTTTCTTTGATAACACTTGTTATATTTAGCCAAGTCTTGTGAACAATTATCCAAAAGTCTGCTTTTTGGTGGAACTCTGTAAAGGTCTGTGGTGCTTTGTACCATAAAATGGAAAACAAATACGAGTAAATATGGCCAAAGGATTGTAATGTTTTAAAATTGCTCATTTAGAGAATATTTCTTTAATCTATGTTGCCGTTAAACTTAAATTTATAATTCATTTTTAAAAATTGCCAGTAAATTTGCAGGTCTACATGTGCATCAACCTCTTAAGCCTGCAGGCCAAAATTATGAAATTCTTAAATTGCAGTCGTGATCCACACAAAAATCACTCCAAGGGCTGCAAATGGCCCTCGGGCCACACTTTGGACACCCCAGCCGTAAAACCTTCTGCTGCCACCAATTCTGCTGTATATAGTTGTATATAAAACAAGCCAAGATGCTAGCAGGTTAAAAAAATAAATAAAGAATTAAACTAAAGACGACCTGCTGCTTCTCTAATGTCACAAATCTTCAGTTGCAGCTTTTATTTCACTTCCTGTTTAAACCTCTCTGTTACAAAACAACAATGACAATACTTGTCAAAAAGTCTTTAAACTAAGATAATACAGTTCCAATGTTTGACATTTTTAAATTGTAGGGAAAAAATCTTTCTCAACAGACTGTGATACAGTAGATACCACAGTGTAATAGGAAAAAGGCTCAACATGATTAGTAAACTGATACTGCCCCACCCTATGATGCAAAGGCACAAAGGGGCTACGTAGATTTCCAAAGTGCACAGAGTCTATCAAACTCTTGCCTGGACTAACTCGGTTGCCAGCAGCTAATTACAAACCAATGGCTGCCTTAGAGCTTTTGTTTACAATTATTGAAAAGTGAGATAATAATGAAAACGTGCTGCTCTCAAAACGGCGCGGACAACGGCAATAAAAGTCAGATTAAGATAAGCTTTCCTTTATCCGCTTTTCAAATCACTTCCTGAACTGGGTGAAATGCAGTCAGAGTGACCTCCACCCTTTCATCATCCTACTACCAAAACCCAGAGGTAGAAAAGGAGCCTTGGAAGATACAAATGATGACCGGTCGCAACAGTCCTCAGCCACTAACCAGTCGACTGTTAACCCTGCAGTGACCCTATGATAAGGACCACCAGCATGGCGTCCGGTACACACCCAGCCTTTAAAAAACACTGACCATACCAGGAGATGCTGGACCAACAGAAATCTGTCCACACACACCATGTAGGCTTCAAAACTTGACGTTTTAACTTGTCGTACAATAATATCAAACTAAACTTTATTTAAAATATGAGCAAGGTGGTTATGATTTATTTTTTTTATATTTCTTCTTTATTAAAAAAGGATAATTTTACTTAACTTGCATCACCTTTAAGTTTACGTTTTATCCGTCTTAATTCCAGATCTATTCCAGGATTGAGTACATAATTTACGAAATAATTTAAGACAGCTAACTAAAACTAACTGAAACAAAAATATGTCCATTTTGAAATGTTTTATCAATAAAGCACAAAATCTGTAAATGTTTCACTTATTCACTTGGTCCCTAAATAATCATTAGACCAAGTGCCTTGAATTTGTTTTATGGATATCAGTACAGGGTATCAAGAGGTAGGATGAAACTTGCTTGTTGTATGGTAGTTACTGCATCACACAGTGTATAGTTGTAGCTGGCTTTTAACCAGTTAATAATTAAGTCATTTAATAATCATTACTTAGGATATTTATCTTTTTTTTTTTTTTATTATCTGATAAAAACAGAAAATACTTTTGGCCTGATTGGTAGCTCTATCTCTAATTACTAATATAAACTGAGATTCAAATAAAGAAACAAGAGAAGTAAACGGTGACTGTTGCCAGACAAAGCCAATAGCTTTCATCAGCTTGGCAGACAAAAACCGTGAAGGTCGCCAGAGATGGGCTGCTTGTCATCAAGACATACAGGGCTTCTTCAGATTTTATGACCAGTTGAAAAAGGGTCATGAAGGTCATTAAAAGGGTCATATAGGTCATTTCAAAGTGGTGTTAAAAAGTACCTCAATGGGCTGTGAGTGCTGGTTAGTTGGCAAACAGTGTTCATAAAAGAGTCTCCAAAATGTCTTAAAACATTTGCAGGGGTTCTCATATTCCTTAATTGAGTCAGAGTTCTCTTGCTTGAGTTTTGAGCAAGGTCAAAAAACCTGACAGATTAGACATAAAAACCGTCATTGTCACCGATTCTGTTCTTCATTCATGGACAGAAATTCTCAGTACAGCCAGGGGGCAGAGGGCGTCTGGTTCTGTGGCCACAGTCTTTATTTGCAGATGATGTGGTCCTGTTGGCATCATTGTGGCATAAACTCCAGCTTTCACTGGAGAGATTCTTTAGCCCTATTCACACGGGATTAGTTTTACCTAGGGATCACATGCTATTTGTAATAATTACGGAGATTGTCTGTGTTGTTAATCCCGTGCAAATCTGCCATGTCAGTAATTTGTAAAGTAAAAAAAATCCCCCGCAAATTACCTACTATATTTTGCTGAACTTTGAAGTCCTGTGATAAAACTAATCCAATGCGGATAGGCATCTCTGTGATTTGGACAGAAATGGGCAGGATCCAATAAGCAATTAGATGGTTTTTGCTTCTGTTTCCTGGGCGCATTTTTATTTGCTTTTGGCAATGGAGGCTGCATTGGAGTGCATAAATAACCTTTTGTGTCCCAGACCAGCAAAAGTCTATCAACCTGTAATGCTTGCCAAAACAAAGAAAAAGCTGAAGAGAAGGAGGATGTTGCATTACAAGCGGATGTTACGCAATACGCAGTGCGTTAACATCATATCTGCAAGATGTCAGTGCATTTCAGCTAAGTCTCAGGCTTTGGTTACCCCATGCGAATGCACCACATAAAAAGCAGACGTTGGGGAGTAATTTTTTTATTACATGTGGTCCCTAGGTAAAACTAATCCCGTGCCAATAGGGCTTTAGAGTGTGAAGCGGCTGGAATGAGGAACAGAACCTTCAAGTCTGAGGTTTTTGTTGGAAAAGGGTGGATGGCCCTATCTGGGTTGGGAGTGAGGTCCTGCCTCAAATGAAGGAGCTCAAGTATATCTGGGATTTGTTCACAAATGAGGGAAGAGGCTGTGGAAAGATGTCTGGACCTCCCTGCTCAAGCTGCTGCCCCTGAGACCCGACTTAGGAACAAGCAGTAGATAATGGATGAATGGACGGATGGAAACAAGAACTACAAGTTTACATTTTCATTCAGAGAATGAATAGACTTCCCTAGAACTAAAAAATTAAATTAAAGGCCTTGTATTCCCTAAAGGCAGGGGTGTTCAACACACCGAATATGTTATGCTAAGACATGAATATGGGTCGACTCCAGAGGTTATTAGCTTGTAGATATACCTTCAATGAAAGGTACCTTCTGAAAATGTACCGGTATTTAAAATCGGTCCAGTGGTTTATGAGAGTTTGTTAACAGGCAGACACAAACGGATGCAAGCTAAAACATCAGTGACAGTCTATAATAAAAGTATCAAAATAATAATACAATACTTCCGAAACAAACTGCTAGCATGTAAACTTCTCAGTAGGAAGGCCCTGGACATTAAAAAGAGGATAGTTAAACAAATCATTGTTAATTAACGTTTTTGGTAACAACACAGTAAGCTCCATTTTTAATCGTTGATTTGAAAGCATGCAGTGTTGTACTGTTTGTCTACTATGCTTCAAGTCAAATGAGCATAGCGGATTATTCCATGCTCACCTTGAGGTAGAGATGTGAATAACAGTGATGCAGCAGGTTGTCGGGAGGCTGGCTTAGACTGCTGACAGTAGCAACCAGTTCTGGAGCATACATTGGCACAGAGTGTTCAACATTTACCCTTTCAACCTGGAACTGTACAGAGGGCAGGAGTGGCTGTGACTGAAACACCGGCACAGAGACTAGGCCTGCTGAAGCCTGGAGATACAAACAAAGAATCACATTAAGATAATATATTGGACCTTAGACCAACAGTAAATATTCAGCTATTTATAGCAAAGTTAAGTCAGATCCTCTGGATGGATTAAAAATAATAATAATAAATAAATAAAAAACTGTTTCCAGTTTCCTGTTTTAATCCAAAAAACTGACAAAGTCTTTTGGATTAAAGACGAAACATAAGTTTTTATTTTTTGAAACAGTCCAAAGAACCTGCCTTATCTTTGTTATTCTACCTGGATTATTGAGCATGCATCAGGATTCAGCTATTTCATTTATTTTAAGAAATTGTAATAGCTTGACAGCTTCAAGTCAATAATTTACTGAACAATCCTCAAAGACCCTTAGATTCCTGACATGTAGATTTTATAACTTGCATGCAAGTCGGTAAAAACTCCAGTTTTGTACAAGATAAATGCCTCAGAACAAGAAGTCAATATTTTCATAAACTATTTTACAATTTCAGACATTATTGGCTTGATTAGTCATCAAGTGGCCCCAGAACACTTTGACAATGTGGACGTCAACTTACAGATATTCAAGAATAAAAGAATCAAAATTGATTGTTCTACATTGTTCTTTGTTCTACATTGTTCTTTGTGTTGTTCTCACACAGTTGTGAGGTCTGATCTTCTTGTTATGCTAAAACACAAACTCACCCTACACAAATAAAAAGCATATGGCATATCAGAAGATTTACAATAATTACACCAGGACACTCAGATTTCAGATCTAACTGTGTTCACAGTGACACAGTGTGTTCAGTCCAGGTGTTACCTTGTGTCCCATGATGACTGGAATGAGTGCATGAAGGAGGTTGAACTCTGCCATGGAGACGGTGACTGACACTTGGAGCAGAGTGAGACAGCTGAGTCTGACTGGGATGAACTCTTCTAAGTGTGAAATCTCTTCTGGAGTTGCTGCAACGTTGCAAACCTCAATAATGTCTACAAAGAAAAGCAAAAGGACACGTGTCATCAACATATACTGCAAAATAAACAAAAGAAAAATTACAGACATGGCAGAAGTAAACCCATTTCACAATGGATGATGAATCACAAGAAAGCAGAGCATGGATGGTCTTTGCAGGGTCTTGTAAAATCTTCAGGCAGGTAATAACTCATGAATGCCATCTACAGCCAGTGATGCTGCAGCCTCATGACTGCCTTCACACTAAAAGAGGCTTCTAAAATGTCCACAATCATCCAGGTTCTGATAAGTCATGGAGAAGGCAGCAAGGCACACATCCAGTGTGAAGGGAGAGTAAATGTAGGTTTCTTTCAGCTGCTCCCTTCTTCAGGGGTCACCCCTGCAAGCAAACTCATGAAAGATTTGGAAATAAGTTTTACACCAGATGCCGCCCTTAATGCAACCTGGGCTCGAACTCGCAACCTCAGGATTACAAGACCGCAGCACTGATGGCCAAGCTAAATAGTTTTTATCTGTCAGCCATTACTGAACTTAAAAGCTATAAGAAGAAATGAATTGGTGCAATAAGAGACAACTAGTGTGATATGAATATGCTTGTGTTGCACATTTGGGGTGTTTAAAACCAGTAACTACTACCTTTTACTAGTGTTATGGTACTCAAGACCGGTCTTGGTCTTGAGACCAGTCTGAAAAAGTGGTCTTGAGACTGGTCTCTAGACCACTTTTTGATGGGCTCGGTCTTGCCTCGGTCTCGGACATTGAGGACTCTGGATTTTATTTCAAGACAGTCAAGACCACAACTGTGTAAATATCACTATATTTCCAGAATATTGTCCAGATTATTTGTAACATCTTTGCTTTCACTGGATGCAAAACGTACTGATTTAAATTGAAGCGATAACGTGACTCATGGCTAAATACACGTTTTTGTTACTGCCGTCACGCCCACCCCCTTTCACTCACACGTGGTTCTGTACCAACAGAACAATGCAGACAACAGAACGTAACGTCACAACCAGGGGTGAAAGTAAGCCTGTACAGTCCAGTACTGCGTACCACTAAAAGATTCTGCACTGGTTCACAGTACCTGGAAGAGAGTGGCTGTCTGCTGTAAAACCTCATTCAGAACCAGTCACAGCTGCACTTTGGGTCAGAATAGATTCTCTAGCAATAAACAGTCTAAAACACGACTTAATCAATTAATAATTAGTTTTTTTTTTCCTCATTTCAAATAGTTTCTGAACTGTTCGTGCTCTGCTGGAGCCTCGTTTCTCTACTGCAGTGAAGTTAGTTTTATGTTGGACGTTGGACATTCGAGCTCCGTGGTTTCAGCGGTGTGTTCCTCTGTTCGGTCTGAAGCAGGCAGTCTGATTTCAGTCAGCTGAGCTCAGTCTGTCCCTCCTCTGAGACGTACTGGTTCGCTTAGGGACCAACAATAAACTATAGAACAAAACACTCTTCAGAATCAAAAATTAATATATTTTACATCATTTGACCCACTGACACAAAACTAATGTTAAACTCCTCTAATAGACCTGACAAGACGAGACACCATCATTTCTCATTTTAAAGCATTTTATAATTAGTTGTTGAGCGAAAACCATGATTTTTGAACAAATAAATTATGTAAAACTAGAAAATACTTTAAAATGAGAAATAAATGCAGGTGCCTCATCCGTCAGCTCTAGTAGAGTTTAACATAAGTTTTGTGTCAGTGGGTCACATGACATGAAAATTATTGTACAAAACCACTGAATGTCTGATTTCTTTGTTATGTAGCTTTGAAAATTTATAAAAGCTGATTCATTCAAAAGCAAACGAAGTTGCAGTATGTAACTTTTATAATAAAATATATTTTTATAAAAGTTACATATGTCACTATGTTGTGACAGTATGGTATAAGACAGATAATCTGAAAAGACTGAGCTCCAAGACTTGAGGTCTTGGTCTCGACTTGGTCTCAGGCTAGGTGGTCTTGACTACAACACCACTTTTTACAGTTTATATATATTTTTTTTTTAAATTATTATACTGTTTGTACTTTTGCTATGGGAAGCAAACTCAAATTATGTTGTATTTAGGTGCAATGACAGTAAAGGTCTTTTCTATTCTGAAGTGTACACATTCAAGAACCGTTTAAGTATTTGCCCAGAGGTACAGTATTTCCGTTCATATCAAAGACAACTAAATGTCACAAATAGTAATGACTTAACGTGAATGAGGTTAGGTGTAAAAGTACTAACATTGTTGTGTCAGACTGCTGTGCCTTCTACATAAGAACAGTGAAAGTTATTTTTACAAAAAACAATAAATGAGATTTGCTCTACAAGACCATTGGTATTGTCAAGCATTTTTATGTAGACACAGTTTTCCAGTAGCTACATTTCAGATTAATATCATACAATCCCTGATCAAGTAAATGATCAAAAAGATGAGGGAAAGTTAAATACAGCCATTAATATCAAGTTAACATGGTGAAAACATGTCACTGTCTGGACTGTCAACCTGAGAGAGTTGTTCTGATCTGACAGTTTTCATCTCCATGAGAACGAAGTGCCCCTGAAACAAGTTGCATGTATGTTCAGTGCCTCAATTGTCTGTGCGTCTCGCAGGCATGCAGTCACAGACACGCGTTTACATCTACATGTGACAAAAATATAGGAAACTTTACAGCTTACATTGTAGTGAATTGTTTTGACCATACTGAAGCGTGTTATACGTTATGTATGAGGTTGACTGTGGTTCAGTTTACTCGTTCAGATTTAAACCATAAATGCTCAAACTCATGAGAAAATGTAAAAATTCCTTGAGTTCAGAAAATCAAAATCATTTTTTTTTTTGGTGTATTTAGGAGCGTTTCTGTACTTTATGGTTTGAAACAAGAGGACTAAAAAAAGTTTGTGCTGAAGTGAGCACTTTCTCACAGCAGGTCAAAAGTGTTTGTGTATTTACACACACTTTCACGCAACGTTCATTTTGATACATCCAGACATGTGCATGGAACCTGGCACATGCAACCTTTTGGCTGATCCATGAGGCCCCTGGTCTTGGCCCTGAACCCAGCACTTTGGCTCTTATCTATCGAGCCAACTCCAAGGTGGTCTTAGAAGCTGATTCCATAGTTTGGTCTTTGGCCTAATGCCACGGCATGCTTCAGGTTGAACTTCCACTGCTGTACCTGGATATAACCGAGTGCCAGGGCACAATAAAAAGCCACAATGAACATTTAAATTACAACCAATTAGCTTACATGTGTAATAAAAAATTAAATACTTCAAACCATGCATAAAAATTACAGTAATTACAATTTAAATAAGCATAACAGTGTATGCCAAGTCTCATGCATTTGCACATGTATTTTAGTTGTGTTTGTTAAGCTTGTTCTTTAATATTGTAGACTGGGAAATAAAGTTATTACACTTTCCTCTTATTGTTAAATTCAAGTTCAAGTCAAGTTTATTGTCATTCGCATCATATGTGGTACATGAGGTGGAACGAAATAATGTACTCAAGCTCCCAGTTACACCCAAAATAGCAAAAATATAAATAAGAATGAAACAGTATACAAGGATCTAAGATATACACTAAACCAGGGGTCCGTAACCTTTATGATCAGAAGAGCCATTTCTGCCCTTTTGTTCACTAAATTAAACGTGTCCAGAGCTGCAAAACCTGCTACAATTGTCATTATCAACTGGTGGCCCATGGACCACTTTAAGTTTGTTAGAGGGGGCTTTTCTGGCCAGCAGGCGTGAAATTAAAAAACTAAAAACATCCGATGATTGTTAACATTTATTGATATTTTTACATTTTGAGACAAAAGAAAAGACTGGATTCCATCCATCCATCTGCTTCTTCCCTTTTTGGGTTGAGGGGGTCAATGGTGCCTACTGTATGTCCAGCTGTCACTGTGCGAGAGGCAGGGGACACCCTGGACAGGTCTCCAGTCAATCACACAAGACTGGATTCTTGTAAAGAAAAAATATTTACGTATCATTTTTGCCAATTTGTTTTAAAACTAAAACGATGAACTGTGCAGACATGTCTTTTTTTTTCCATTGTGGAGCAATTGAGTATCCTACTTTCAAGAAATAAAGCATAAAATTAAAGTGAGTATTTACTATGTGTATTAGTACTATTATTCCACATATTTGCAAAATCTTGCTAAAACTAGTATTTTTTTGTGGGTATAACATTCTAAAAATGACAGTTTTATGTTAGTTTTGGTCAAAGCTTGAAAGAGCCGCTGCAGAAAGTCCAAAGAGTGCAGACCCCTGTGGTAAACGAACGCCAAGCGGTACACTAAAGGATCTAAGATATAAGCTAAACACTAATAATGTAAAAATACAGCGTAACAGCAGCCCGAACATGAGTCTGTGGTGAGCGGATGGGTACGAATGAATACAGCAGCATAAGATAATCAGCAGCATGAGGTCAGCAGCTTGGATAATCAGCAGCACAAATAAGTCACATATCACCAATTAAAGTGGCATTACAGTGATTATCCTGATTAGGGATTCATGAGTCTCACGCCCTCTGCGGAATGTTCTACGTCACCATGTGCTCGTCTGTGTGGGGTGTTTTTTCATTATCAGGGTCTTTATTCTCAGCCAAGAAGAAAGAGTTTGATAGGAATTTTTTGCCTCCAATTTCCTACAATTGTTCAGTTTCACTACTTTTTTTTGTCTGTCTAAACAGATCTTACGTAAATGAGTCTCCGAGGCTCAGTGGGATTTATCTGTCTAAATAAAGGTTTGATGAAGGAAAAAAAAAAAGGGATTCATGAGTCTAACAGCTTCAAGCTGTTCCTCAGTCTAGTGGTTCTACACTTAATGCTCCTCAACCTCCTGCCTGAGAGGAGCGGGGCAAAACGTGTGTGTGCTGGGTGAGTGTGGTCCTTCATGATGCAGGTGGCCCTCTTCCTGCATCTGGTGGTGTAGATGTCTGATGATGGGGAGGCTGACTCCAACAGTATGCTGTGCAACTTAACCTAATAGCATAAATTATTTTTGTTTGTTATAAACAGTATTAGTATTGAAATAGTGATCTAAAATAAATCATCTTGTAAAACTAAATACTATAAGTGGAAGAAAACATTTACAAATACAGTCAAAATTACTTTCTTAGTTTTTAATAGGAAGAATAGTTTCTCCTTTTATAAAACTTGTTTTAAAACTTAGGGCCAAATTATGCACATGGCTGCACGGTGGCTCAGTTGGTAGAGCTGCTGCCTCTCAGCAAGAAGGTCACCGGATTAAATTCTGGCCAGGGATCTTTCCGAGTGTAGTTTGCATGTTCTCTCCATGCATGTGTGGTTTTTCTCCGGGTACTCTGGTTTCCTCCCACAGACCAAAAACATGCATGTTAGACTGATGATTGGTAACCCTAAATTGTCTCTAGGTGTGAGTGAGAGAGTGAATGGTTGTTTGTCTTGTTTGTCTCTGTGTGTCCTTGAGATGGACTGGAGACCTGTCCAGGCACCCGCCTCTCACACAGTGACTGCTGGATATGGGCATTAGTGACCTCCACAGCCCGAAAAGGAAGAAGCAGGTAAAGAGGATGGATGGATTAAATTGCCCATGACTGCACTTTTAGGGGCAGATATTTTTATTGAGTAGAAGCAGAAATGCTACTTGAAGAGGCAGCTCTGATGTGATATTAAGAAGCTCATAAGTGGCTGTTGTGTTTAAAATTAGTGTTTACGTAATTATTTTCAGATCACATATCCAATATAAGTTTTATTTGTTCAAGGCAGTCAAATGTGTTCATAACATTATTATTAGTTAGCCTGAGAGTTACCGGATCCAACTAAACAGTTACCGTAACACACCCTGTCAAAATAAGAGCGTTCCCGGATCCTGTTCCAGCAAGACCTGGCTCAAATGAAGACCTGGTTGTAACATAACAAAATGTGGAAAAAGTAAAGCTCTGTGAATACTTTCCGGATACTCTGTACATCTGTGTGTTGAAAAATGAATTTTGCCAGAAGATGACAACGTGACATCAACAAACGGTGAAAACTGCTGAACTTTAGAAGAGAAATGAGAAAAGTTAAGATTGTAACGTCGGCATGAGAACACTGACCTTGAGTTGGTTTGCAGTAGGGTTCGTATTCATGCTCCATGGCACAGGTGATCATCTTGAGGATGCGGTGGACAGAGCTACTGTGCAGCCGGATGTCCAGAGGTCCCACCACCAGTCTTTTAATAGAAGTCTCTTCAAGTTTTGGCAATAATTCATCAGTGCTCAACACCGAAAAGTCCTGAGAGCCTATAAAAAGAAACATAATACAATTTCTTTTTAAATTTATGTCATGAGTACTATTATTGCAACCCTAATTAAGTTAAATCAGAAAGATCTAACAAATAAAAATACTAAATAGAAACATTTCCAATTGATATCAAACTGTTTTCTTATTAAAATCTGAAGTATAAAAGTTTTCTCCAAACCCTGCAAAAACACTTCAAGGATGGTAATGAAGCAGTGGGGAGCAGCGCACAGTCATGAACAACTTCGGTGATGAATATTCCAAATGTCTTGTTCTCTCACACAGCTGTCCATTCATTGAAGGCCCATATTCTAGCGGTTCACTTGAAAAGTCTAAGCTCCCTGGCAATAAAAAGGAAGAAATTAAAAATAAAAGGAGGGGGTGGATGAATGGCAGCGAGGGAGGAAGAGGACAAAGGGTCACAGTTGTTTTATTTCCTTTACATTCCACCACTGAACAGCACATTCTTAGAGCTCAGAGTCAAAACTGTGAATTCAACTTTTATTTTCCTTCAGAAAAGACTGGGGTACAGAATTTAGAAAACTTGTAAAGGGCAACAGACAATGTCACTTCCCCTTCCCCCCATCAGACTGGGTCGCAGTGGATTACACCTAATATCAACCATATGGCTGTAGTTAGAGTGGTCAGCAGAATGATGAGAAGGATGAAATTAACTGGGATTTAGACCATTTGTAAGTGTCTCCATTTCCCTGGAATTAAAACATTCTTAAATCTACAGCATTGCTTTAATGTAAAGTCCGTGATAAGAGTGACCTGGGTGGGGGTTAGTATTTTAGTTGACTAATATGAGTGAGTTAGTCCTGCTGCGAGGAAGACTCGTTCGTTTAGTTGACTCTGGATTAGATCTGATGAAAAACACTTCTGTTGGCAAGGGCAACCACAGTCGTCCCACAGGAAAAGCATTCGACACGTATTCTGGTGTCAGAAATGTCTGCGACAGCTCCGGATGACTGTTTCAATGTTTTGTTTTTAATTTAGATCATTATCTTTAGATGACAACAGCAAAAAAAAAAAAAAAAAAAAAAACTGTTGTCAAAAAAAGGTCAAATAGAGAAATTCAGTGAGGCAAACAATACAACAAAAAAAGGTTGGAGTCCAACTTATCTGCTTTAGTTCTTTAAAAATGGCTGCTGTGCAATTTATCTATAATTCCATTATGCCAAAGGCATTATGAAGGGAGTGGTGGCGCAGAGACTAGAGAAGGTGGGCCTGTGATCAGAAGGTCGCTGATTCAACTCCCGGTACAGACAACGTCAAAATGTGGGCGGGAAAGTTGGAGCACCCACACCTGCCTCCACCCTCATTTGCTCCACTCTGGGCCCTTGAGCAAGGCTCTTAATCCCCAACATCTGCTCCCATGGGCGCCCTAGACAGAAGCTTTCTGTTCCACACAGAGGGCTGTGGTTGTGTCAGGAAGGACATCCAGCATAAAAATAATTGCCAAATCTTCATGCGACTTAGTTCACTGTGGTGACATCTGAAGAAGGGAGCAGCCGAAAGTAAAAAAAACATTATGTTAAAGGTATTTAGTACCACAAAGTTACCTTACAATACAGTAGTCCCCCTCGCTACTTCATGGTTAATTTAGCGTGAACTCGCTCCATCATGGTTTTTCAAAATAAGATTGGACATGACTGATTGATGGATGAGCCACATGATCAGCATGGAATTTTTATTTTAAATAAATTTTTAATTATTTAGCGCCTGCTGCACCTGTGTGCAGCCCAGAGCTGCAGAGAAAGCTTCATCTTGCACCTTTGTGCAGCTTTTACTGCTGCAGGATAAACTTCCTGCTGCAGCTGATCTTTCAGCTGATCTCCGTGCAGAGCGGAGAAGTGGGCGTGGCCAAGAGCACTTGCAGGTGGCAAAGAGCAGAGGAGGCAGGGAGCTGAAATCATGACATTCAGTGCTCTTTTAGTGCATTTAGAAACATTGTTTAGGATATTGCAAACATGTTGGTAGGATTGAAAACACACACACACATATATATACATACATACACACACACTAAAATAAACTACTACTTACTACTTGTAACTACTTGTACTACTATTCCTACTTCGAGGTTTTTCACTTATTGCAGGGCTTCAGGGTACAGATCCCCCAATAAGAGGCTGTGTGTTTTAGAAGGAAGTCAGATTTGTTTAATAAGTTGCTGAACACATTTTTATTTCGTTAATTGAATTTTTTGTCATGCATGTATGTGTGTGTATATATATCTATACATATACACACACACACACACACACACACACACACACACACAAAAAAATAAGCTTTTTAGCAGCAACGAAAAAGAAAAACTGTCCAATCTCTCACACTTCTATGGGCCAAAAATAACATTTAAAATTGAAGGCAGCAGGCTTTATCTCCTAATGGGAACTTCAGATCTTTCAGATCTGAATAAACATTCTCAAGTGCTGCTGCTGAGGAATGAGGAACTTTACCCGTCTTAAGGCTTCTGCCTGGAGGAGTGACATCTAATTAGGCAACAGGGGCCTATTCACTTTCTCAAGAGCTTACAGGTAAAGAAACAGAGAGGAAACAGTGTTTCAACAAGCAAAAGGTAGAGAGAAACTCAAATATGTGTCAGCGTAGACTAAACACTTCTGACAGTTGCCCCGCAGGTAAGTTTGGGGTGAGAGTGAGGACAGAGGGTCAAGGACCAGGTGGTTAAGAATAAAAAGAAGACAAGCTCTTTCTTCAAGCCTCAAACGAGCATGTTTGACATGGAGAAGAAAAAAAAGAATAAGAGGGGAAAAGGGTACGAAAGAAAGAGCAGAGAGATAAGAGAAGAGAACATGACAGTTAAGTGATGGTAAGGTGACCAAACAAGCTTTGTTAGGAGTAATAAATTAAACAATACCTTTGGAGCTGCTGTTCTCCATTGTGTAGAGATAATCCATGTAGAAAGCCCCAAAGCGCTGCATGCCTGCCATCTCTGTAAAGGTCTCCTGTCAAACAAAGTGGAGTTTGGTCAATTTGGCAGTGAGGCAGCAAACAGGCTGATAGCCTTTAAGGTGGCAGTGACTGGGGTCAAGGCAGATCTGGCAGAGGGGGTCAAACCAGAGATAGAGAACCTATTGAGAAGTGAACTACTTAGCTGGTCTTTTGGTTTTAGTTTGGTTTTAAAGGGACAGTGGCATATTTGAAGGCCTGACATTCTTTAAAGGAAGCTGCCATCCATGACAAAGATCATCTTATGTTGAGAAATGACAGTTATGGCGCTTTTCGGTTAAATCTGGAAAATAATGGTATATGTATGATGTGAGGTAAGGGTTTCGTGTGTTTTACATTGGTAAACTGTCACTAAACCCAGAGAGGCATACTTGATTAGAATGCAAACACCTTAACGTATTTTTCAGACTATAAGACACACTGAAAATTCTTTAATTTTCTCAAAAATCGACAGTGAGCCTTATAAGCCAGTTGGACTTGTGTATTAATTCTGGTTGTGCTAACTGACCTCAAACCAGTTTTATGTGGTACAAGGCACTCAAAAATCTGTCAAAATGAACTTGTTTTGCTTAATGCGCCTTATAATCCGGTGCACCTTATAGTCCCAAAAGTACAGTAATTGTTTATTTCATGTTTGAGCAAACTAGACTATATTCACTGCTACCACTCAGTTATTAAAAAATGCCTAAACGAATCAAATGTAAAATAAGAGAAACAAAAATCTGCCAGCTTTTAATGTCTGTTGATTTTCTAGTTAGTGGTGTACTTTTTAATCTGCAGGTCAAGAACCAGTGAGCCCATAAAGGGTGTTATTAGAAAGTTGCACAACAAACCACTGGAAAAACTAAGAGACATTAACACATTCAACTTGCCAAATCAAATTTACTTAAAAGTTTTTTTTAAAGATTTAAGATAAAGACAAAGATTTAAGGAGAACCTTATCAGAGGGACAGGTTAATGATTAATATTTATTAGGGGGTCTCTAAAGGATTTGGCAAGCTTCTGGATGAAAGCCTGCCCCATTGCAACATCTCTGATGATGAATTAACGCCCAAACCATTGAGTTTTAGACTAAATAAATGGATGAACAGATGGAAGGATTAATTGATGTGTAAACAACTGCTTTATTGAGGGTCATGAACAATTTTAGGTATCGTCAACATTTGTGCTGTGAGGGAAGATGAAGGGACCCGACACTTACCAGGAACAATGGTTTTAAACCACTGCTCAGATAGTCACAACATCCCAAGAAACAAATAAGTTAAAAAAAACTACTTCAGCAATTGAAGGAAAAAAGAGGGGAAAAACAGAAGTTAATTAAAACTACTGGTAAATTGTTTTTAGTACTAATAAATACAAGTCCAATTCCATACAAAGTTATGTCTGATTTATTTATGATTACTGTTTTTGTTTCATGTAACAAATACAGCAAAATATGTGATCATTTTATTTTGAAGACCATCTTAAAGCCCAAAACTTTGTGTTTTGTGACTCAAAGTGGGGTCCAACCCCAACTTTGAGAGAGAACCAGCTGCCTCTGTAGTTCTCCACAGTTACAACTGTGGAGAATGATCTCCAGATCATACGGTCTGTGGAGATCGATCGCGGCCGGAGCCGCAAACTCTCCAGCGTGCATGAATGAATGAATGCATGCATGATGCATGCATGATGAATGCATGCATGATGCATGCATGATGAATGCATGATGCATGATGAATGCATGATGCATGCATTATTCATTAATTCATTCATTCATTCATTCATTCATGGATGGAGCCACCCAGGCAAAATGAAGCAGTTTTGACCATTAAATAAACGCATACTAAACGCAACGGATCAGCAGTGATGCATAATAAATGTGACTTATACGCTGAAGCAACATATATTTATTTTATTTTTTCCTTTTTTCTTCTTCATGATGCTTTTTTTTTTTTTTTTTGACTGATGCGACTTATACACCGGATAATACGGTAATAGTGAAGGGGCAGCATGGTGGCTCAGTTGGTACAGCTGTTGCCTCTCAGTGAGAAGGTCGCTGGTGCAAATCCCGGCCAGGATCCTTTCTGGGTGGAATTTGCATGTTCTCTACATGCATGCGTGAATTTTCCTCCAGGTACTCCAGTTTCCTCCCACAGACCAAAAACATGCATGTTAGTCTGATTGGTAACTCTAAATTGTCTCTAGGTGTGAATGAGAGAGTGAATGGTTGTTTGTCTCGTTTGTCTCTATGTGTCCCTGTGATGGACTGCAGACCTGTCCAGGGTGTCCCCCACCTCTCATACAGTGACTGCTGGACATGGCACCAGTGACCCCACGACACGAAAAGGAAGAAGCGTGTAATGATAATGGATGGATATATTAGTGAAACCAAGCTTTTTAAAAGCAGGGTTTAATCACCAAAAAAAACCTAAAAAAACTTTTTTTTCTATGTCCTACAACAAAGATTTTGTACAAACAAGTTATTTAGGTGCGAGCTCATGTCATTGTATAATTTGTAACCTTGTGATTAGTGGAATCCAGGATGAATTCAGCTTTCACTCCGTTGTTCTCTGGACTGCGGTAGTCAAAAAGCGAGTTGGTCAGGTAAGTCATCCCTTTACTTCTCAGGTTTTCTCCACAGCACAGGAACACTGCCTCCTGCACAAACAGGAACGTGAAAAATTACACACGACAAGAAATGGGAAGACGTAAGCAAATACTTATGATAGCTTGCATCATAGATTTAGCCATCTCACCCACGCAGTAAACATTAAGATAAATCTAAATTTATTTTTAAACAGTTGAAATGAATACATTTTCTAGTTATTTCCAATAAAAGCAAACAATTATATAAACTAAACTATCTAGCTCAAAAAAATATTACAAGTAGTTGTGCCTTAAAGTGTTAATGTTATGAAATAATCTAAAGCTAAACTTCTATATATCCCAAAATGAGGAGAAACAAACAAGCACACAATAATAAAAACTCTGTAGCAGCTATATCAATTTGGGTTGGTTTTGTTTTTATCCTCCCATCTTAAGCAATTGAGTCTGAGATAATAATGAAGGTATTGGGGGCTTTCTTTTTTTTTTTTTTTACCTCTTCACGTCTGTTCACATTTTCTTCAAAATCCAGAACTCCCATGATGCCTTTCAGGCAGAGTGCCCGGCAGCCCACAAAGCCAATCTGACAATTAAAGAAGGGTTCTCCCATCATGAGCACCTGGAAGAAACACCAGAGAAAGAAGCGTAAACCATATGATAGAGCCAACATGTGGGTCAAGTTACAGGGATGACTATGTTGGAGAAAAATAATTCAACAGATTATTCATCTATTAGACAAATAATCCAAATTATTAATAATAAAAATGCATTTTTATGATAACTTGCTTACTGACAGCAACCACTTATGTCCTCTATGACACTTCCAAACATACGGGAAAAACTAAATTTGGACAAAGATCAATGTGTCATTTCCCTCATTTGGCTTTTATTTATCCAGCAAGCAGCTTAAAAATAAATATATTTTGTTTCACAACACAGTGATGTGGTTTATGCCTCCAGTGAAATTTGTTGCTCTCCTGTCTTCCAACATCCTTACATTTGGTCCAAACTCAGACTGCTCACTTTCTCTTCCAGCAAAATCACAAATTGCCAAAATTGAATTCTCAGAAAATGACCCATGAAGAAACCCCTGGAGGAGAATCTGTTTTTAAACTGTTCAAATGCAAGAATTATTAGATTTTAGTACTAATCAGTTGTACATTCGGTAGCTGTGGCTGAGTGGTAAGAGCAGTCGTCCTCCAATGCGAGAGTTGGGGGTTCGAATCCACCAGCGGTCACATGCTGAAGTGTCCCTGGGCAAGACACTGAACCCCTCATAGCCTTCGATGTGTGTCCCATCAGTGTATGAATGTGATCTAAAGCTCCGATTAGTCTCTTTAGAATGATTTGTTCAATTAGTTTTGTAGAGATCTAGTAGTGCTGAATGAATGAGTAAATGAGGCACAGATTGTTGTGTAAAGAGCTTTGAGTATCTTGAAATAAGATATAAAGACGCTTTATAAGTACAGTCCATTTACCATTCAACCAGTAAACGTTCAACAGGCTGCAAATTGGTGACTCTGCAAATATCTAAACTTTACCTTAAGGAAGACATTAGAGTAATCCTTGAAATTGTAAAGTAGGACATTTAACAGTAATAATCAGCAGGAATGGCATATTTATTGCTCTTTACTGGCTGTCAGCTATGATATTTAACAAACAATAAAACCTTTGGAGTTGCTATCCTTGGTAAAACAAAACAAAAAGATCTGTGTGATACTTGTGTTTACTCTTATTATTTAATTGTCAGAAACTGTCATCTGCATGTTAGTAGCACGTTTTTTGTTTTGTTTAATTTCGTGTTCTTCCATTTATTTTTCAATTTATATGCTTTTATTATGATTATACTGTCATTGTTGTCTACTGTTGTCATCATGCTTTGTTTAAAACAGGTCTCTCTTGTAGATGAGTCCTCAAGGCTCAATGAGACTAACCTGTAGGAATAAAGATTTTACCTTACACTGTAATAAAAAAACTCGTGTATGGACTATGATATGTTAATTTTACAGATTTGTTTGTTGTTAATAAACTGAAAAGGTCTTTTTATACCCTGTCCTTACAAGTGATTGTAATTGTAATTGGTAGATCCTTTTTAAAGTTTAAATAAATAAAAACGATAAAACATCAATATTAACAACCTAGTGCCATAAAGAATCATACCTCGATAGTGATTCCTTCTTGCTCCAGACACAGAACTTCTTTGGACTTGACTTTCTGAGGACTGTAGTAGCTGCTTTCTGATTGGGAGTCTGTCAGCTAAGACAAAAACAGAAATGTTTTATTACTTGGCGTCACATTTGTAAATGCTACATTTCATGTTCAGGGCAGCATGTCGAGGTCCAGGATGAAGACTTTGAGGTCACCCTCACATTCTCAGGTGTGGACAGTTATCACTTATAAGCTAATGAAGAACCAAAAGGCAGAAAACAAGACGCACTGCAGTGGCAGACACTGTAAACTGTAATATATTGTGTTTTACACTCGAGAAAAAACAGACAAATGTTTTTAGTCATTTTCAGTTCAAAGCTTGAATTTTAGCTTAAAGTATTAAATAACCAAAAAGTATTTTTTGGGCATTTGTTTTCCATTTTAGGAGATGAAAATCATCCATTATGTTTACCCACTTCTTCCTTTGTCAGGTCGCAGGGTCACTGGTGCCCATATCCAGTGCATGACGAACACCCTTGAGTTACCAATGGGCAGCATAATATACAAATATAAGCAAGAGCTGTTCACGAGCTGCACAGAGGCGTAAGCCGGTTAGTACTAGTACCTCACAGCAAGAAAGACACTCGTTCAAATCCTGGCCAGAGCCTTCCTGTGTGGAGGTTTCATGTTCCAGCTGTGAATGTGTGGGTTTTCACTTAATTTGCCTCCAACAGTCAACAAACATGCTAGTTGGTTTAAATCCAGTTCATTAATTGACCGTGTGTGTGTGCATTCACATGCATATGTGCGTGCGTACATGTGTGCCTCTGAAGTTCTGTGAAGGACTGACCACCTGTTCAGGGTGTACTCAGGCTGGGTGTAACCCCAGTGACCACTGGAGTTGGGCAGCAGCCACCTGAGAATCTGAACAGCATTCAGTGAATGGAGAAAATGAACGGCTGATGAACGGTTCATTTTGTTGTTAATCTTAAGAGCGAAAATAAAGTTAGGGCAAAGAATGAGACAGTCAAAGCAAAGCACCTGGTCAAAATTAGCTGGCTGGGATGAAGACCGTAGAAAGTTGCAAAAGCTTCTGAGGTAAGTTAAAAAAAAAAAAGTGTGGGTGTAAACCAGAATGCAACCCATTCAGCTTTAACACAGGAAGCAGGTGCAGAGCAAGAAGCAGCTGTGGCTTATTATTCCAATGGAGCAGACTCTCGTTCTCACTCCCTTCCCCTCTTTAGATTCTGATGGTTTAATCACATGTGGGGACCAATTCCCCCCCACGCCCCACAAAAAAACCCCTGCAAATCCATGATATAATGATGAATGGGTGTCTGAAATATTCTGCCTAAACTATTGCCTTTTAACAACAACAGTGCAGAGAGGCACTGTCACCAAAGAATTATTAGTGACACCTGTAAACACGTCCATTTCTTAATGTTTCACTGCCTGCACCAAGCTGGTAGACTATTAGTGATTAAACCTAATCCTGAAATAACAGAAGCAACAGAAGCCAAAGCAGCAGCTTTAATGTAAATACTCAAACACGCGTGCAGACAGAAATGAACTGCAGCGATAGCTACTACCTTTTATACCTCACCAGTACTTTATGTCAAACCATTTAAAGGCTTCTGGAATCCACTGTAATTACATTGATGCATAGTGGAATTTTTAAAACCACAGAAAATAAATTATAAAATTTAAAAAAAGTTGAAATAGTACTTCACTTGGACTATTTAAATAAAAACAAACTAAATTAGGAAAAATATTTATATGTAAAAAAAAAAATGCAATTTAGTCTGGCATGTAGTGAAAGTTTGGCAGGTGTGCAAATCACAAGAAGGAAACAACTGGTCAGTTTTAAACTATGCATAATGTGTGTAAAAGTCAAAGTACACTGCCAGTATTTTCATCAAAGAGAACTGTGGAGTAGTGTGTAAGTAATCTAAAAATACATCTCTGATTTCACATTCATGTCAGTTCAAGCATTGGCAGTTCAAAGACATGAAATTCCTTCAAACTAAATACTTCCTTGTAGCAAAGAGACAAGAATGTCCCAGGAAAAAAAAAAAAGGTCCTCTCAGCTGCCTGCAATTACTCCAGAGGAGAGGCAATTAATTGATTAAAAGAACTTCAACAATACAGGAACAGTTTAAACGTTAGAAAAACACGATGGTTTTTGTGGCCTGAGAAATACTGCTCCTTCACTGATCACACACACCATTAAAAACATGCACACGTTCTCTCACATCAATACACCAACGCTTGCATGCACAAACCTGGGCTATATCCACAAGCACCAGGCACATGAGCAAAAACACAAAAACCGACAAATACAAATTCTCTATGAGTGATGCGATATGCATTGCATGAATCCAAGGAGAAACCAAAATTAATTCCACCTTTTCTGTGCAAGAGCACATAATTTAACTTTCAGATCCATTTCTAAACAGTGTTCATCAACATGTTTAAAGCATTATTGTGGCCAGAGACAGAAGTTGGTGCTTACACCACTGTTCACGATACAAACACACGGAGACCAAGTTTAAAAGTGCTGAAAACAAATTAACACTAAACCAGTCATGGACCTTGATGTGCTCATCAAAAAGATGTAAACAAGAGGACCACGTACGGCCCATCATACACCTGTCGACCATTATACAATACAGCAATCTATAGGAATGGACCAGAAAAGACCTTGTATAACCTTTGACTTTCATTTGTGACCTTGACCTTGGAGCTGGGGTGATGAAAAGTGTATGCACACTCAGTTTACTGATGATACATGCGTGTGAAGTTTTCTTTAATTATTTTAAGTGGTTCGGAAGCTACGAGCCAGACAACCAAAAAATCTAGTATAACGTTTGACCTTGATGTGTGACCTTCACCTCAGAGCTGGGGTGCATGTGAGACACTCGGGTGATGAATGTGTGCATGAAGTTGTACTGAAATTATTTTGAGCGGATCAGAAGTTTTAGGAAGGACAAAGAACTTGTTTCAACTTTGACCTTGATTTGTGACCCTAACCTTGAAACTGGGTGAATAAGCATGTCCATCTAGCGCAGATGCAAATGTAAGAAGTTTGGTTAAATTATACAGACGTGCCAGAAGTCAGGGCGGGACAAGACAAAGTTTACAGACACAAAGACTATACATGCATCTGCTCCTCGACCCACGTAAAAAAAAAAAAGGTAATGATGAAGATCAAGATGGAAGTTGTATACACAAAGAACTGTATATAAAGAATCAGTATATATATATATATATATATATATATATATATATATATATATATATATATAAAACATTGTAAACAAACTCATATTACTCCTATTAAATAGTTTTTGAAACATGCTAAACATTACCCCTCTGGAATTAGAATACGTTTTTACATCAAACTGTCTTCCATTCAGTGTATAATACTTTAAACCAATGTGACAAGTATCAATGAAGTATTGTTTTGTAATTAGTTACCAATTTAAAATATATATTAAGTGAAAACTTTGTCATTTATAATGCTGGATTGTTTTGTTTCTTTCTCAAACAGCACATTTACCTTGAAGGTGACGGAGGCTTTAGTGCAGTAGAAACCTATAGAAACAACAGGGTCTTTGCACGTGTGCTGCTGGGGGTTGTTGGAATTGTCTCCAGTTTCGTTCTGTGGGTAAAGACCTTCCTCTCCTTCCTCCTCTGCGCCTACAATGGCAGGGACGAAGGACCAAGCCCAGGACATCCAACCCTGGTCCACTTCCTCGGGACTCCCAGGTTCCATGTAAAGGTCCTGGCTGGAGCCCAAGCTTTCCATTTCAACATCCATCCCTGACAAGAGAAAGTTTAATTTAGTCTTAATGCAAACAGTTTTACATAGGAAGGAAATTGCGACTACATCTTACACCATGCCAATCTTGAGTATATACTTGGGCTTAAAATTTTTTGTAAAAAAAAAAAAAAATAATTAAGTGGCAATGCAGACATATAAACGAGATTAACAATATGTCAAATTTATATATTAGATCATATCAAGACTCGTAAATAAAAATATTAACTTCTTTGGCATGGTTTTACTTGTTGCAATTTAAATGTGCAAGTGCACAGAATAAATCAGTCAAACAAGGTAAAAACTGATAAGGGAAACATTAATACTTTGGGATGTCAAGTAAATTTGCCAATGCCCACAAGTGTAATGCAAGTACAAACCGGATTCCAAAAAAGTTGGGACACTAAACATTGTGAATAAAAACTGAATGCAATGATGTGGAGGTGCCAACATCTAATATTTTATTCAGAATAGAACACAAATCACAGATCAAAAGTTTAAACTGAGAGAATGTATCATTTTAAGGGAAAAATCTGTTTCCAAATTTCATGGCATCAACAAATCCCAAAAAAGTTGGGACAAGTCCATTTTTACCACTGTGTGGCATCCCCCCTTCTTCTTACAACACTCAACAGACGTCTGGGGACAGAGGAGACCAGTTTCTCAAGTTTAGAAATAGGAATGCTCTCCCATTCATGTCTAATACAGGCCTCTAACTGTTCAATCGTCTTGGGCCTTCTTTGTCGCACCTTCCTCTTTATGATGAGCCAAATGTTCTCTATAGGTGAAAGATCTGGACTGCAGGCTGGCCATTTCAGTACCCGGATCCTTCTCCTACGTAGCCATGATGTTGTGATTGCTGCAGAATGTGGTCTGGCATTATCGTGTTGAAAAATGCAGAGTCTTCTCTGAAAGAGATGACGTCTAGATGGGAGTATATGTTGTTCTAGAACCTGAACATAGTTCTCTGCATGAATGGTGCCTTTCCAGCTCATGCAACCCCATACCATCAGTGATGCAGGCTTCTGAACTGAGCGTTGATAACAACTTGGGCTATCCTTGTCCTCTCTGGTCTGGATGACATGGCGTCCCAGTGTTCCATAAAGAACTTCAAAATCGTGACTCATCTGACCACAGAACAGTCTTCCATTTTGCCACACCATTTTAAATGACCCCTGGACCAGTGCAAACGGCTGAGCTTGTGGAGCTTGCTTAGAAATGGCTTCCTCTTTGCCCTGTAGAGTTTCAGCTGGCAACGGCGGATGGCACGGTGGATTGTGTTCACTGACAATGCTTTCTGGAAGTATTCCTGAGCCCATTCTGTTATTTCCTTGACAGTGGCATTCCTGTTTGAGGTGCAGTGACGTTTAAGGGCCCGGAGATCACGAGCATCCAGTAGTTCTATTTCATCCCTCCTGACCGCCAGAGGGCGGTGCTGAAAGCACTGAATGTTCCCTTCGCGCATGCGCTGATTCGAGTAATAATACCAACGGAGTCACAGGTGTGACACGGATGACCAATCAGAGGCTATATAGCCCGACGTCATCCGCTGCTCTGCTCCTATTTTCTTCTCGCGCGCGGTTCAATTCAGGGCTTCAGCCCTTTGGACCTTTTCTGAACTTTTTACCGTCGTCGGAAGCCCGACTGCCCGTCTGCGGGAGTAGCGTGTTCGCCCTCCTAGGGCTGCGACGGTTTAACCCTGTTCAAAGGTATTTCTGCTGTTTCGTTGGGAACTACGGCGGTTTCCGCCTCTCCCAACTTACAGCGTCTGACTACTATGTGTGTGATTCAACACCGGTGAGTAGTTTTCCTTATATTTCGCCGTTGGTTAGCGGTAGCGTTCGCTCCGCTCACGCTTGTTAGGAGACCTCCAACCACGTCGTCGGCTGGACTGTGCTCCGACGTTGTTTATGACTACTATGTGTGTGATTTAACACTGGTAAGTAGTGGTTTTTTGCTTAAATTTTGCTATTTGGTTAACGGTAGCGTTCGCTCCGCTCTTGTTTACTGGAGGCCTCCAACCGCGTGGTCGGTTGGACCGTGCTCCGAAGTTTGTTTATTACGTAGCCAGCTGAGTTTCTGGCCTTGTTTTATTTGGTGAAGGCGAGTGTTCTCACCCCCTCTCCCAATTGTCCTCTTACCAGCTGAGCTAGTGGTGCTAGCCTCTCTGAGTTTTCACTTTGTTTTAATTGGTGAAGGCGAGTGTTCTCACCCCCTCTCCCAATTGTCGTCTTTTACCAGTTGAGCTAGTGGTGCTAGCCTCTCTGAGTTCTAACCTTGTTTTCATTGGTGAAGGCGAGCGTTCGCGCCCCCTCTCCCAATTGTCCTCTTTTACCAGTTGAGCTAGTGGTGCTAGCCTCTCTGTGTTCTAACCTTGTTTTCATTGGTGAAGGCGAGCGTTCGCGCCCCCTCTCCCAATTGTCCTCTTTTAACAGCTGAGCTAGTGGTGCTAGCCCCTCTGAATATCTTGGGCATAGCTGGGTAAGGAGCATGGACGGCTCTCACTGCTGTACAGTCTGTGGAGCCATGCTCCAGATAGATGACGGTCACGACCTGTGTCCTGCCTGCCTTGGACATGACCATCTGGTGGATGCCCTGTCAGAGAACCCCTGCATGAATTGCAGCTTCATGTCGCATGCTGTGAGGGCGGCCCGGCTGGCCCAGTTTCGCCCCAAACTCGGCGATGACCTCCCGCCTTCTGGGCAGGAGGCTCCACCTAGGCGCTCGAAGCGCCGGACTGAGGCCGCAGTCTCTGTGGCCCCTCCTGGGAAGAAGCGAGCCAGGTCTGATAGGGGCCTCTCCACAAGGGTGGAGCAGCTCTCCGCTGAATTAGCGGAGATGAAGTCCCTTTTTCAGGTACACCAACTGGGAACTGAACCAGTGGCAGCAACTGGACTCTCCTCCCCACCCATGCCTGAACTGGCTGTGGAGGAGGATGTGCTATCCTTGGCTGCCTCTGCCTCTCACTTTTTAGGTGAGGAGGACGGGCATTCATCTCGAGTCTCAGAGACAGCTTCACTCTCTTCTTCTCGGAGTGCAGTTAGTGGGTCGGGTGACGGCTCGATGCAGGACATTATGCGTATGGCCCTGAGACAACTGCAGCTGGACGTCCCGCAACCAGAGGCGTCCACCCCTGGAAGTGCCTTCTTCAGGCGCGGACTGACCCCTCCTTCCTTTTCTGTCCCTCCATCAGAGGAGTTCCTGAGGGAGTTGCATGGTTGCTGGCGGGACCCCAAGGCCTTTGCGCGCCTCTCTGCAGATGGCAGAGTGTTGGCGGCCATGCATGAGCCGGCTGCAGCAGGCTTGGATCGCATGCCAGCGATAGAACCTGCTGTTGCCTCTCTCATCGTGTCACCAGATGAAGCTCTGCGCAGTCATATTCGGTGCCCACGAGCTCAGTGTCGTGTCACGGATGAATTCCTCTGCAGAGCCTATGCCGCCGGAGCGCGTGCTGGCCGCCTAGGTAATTCCTTGGCACACCTAATGCTTGCCCTCTCCGCGTCCCTTCAGGGGACTAGTGGTGCGACAGCAGCGATGGGCTTTAACGATGCAGCGCTTCAGGCCTTTGCACTAATGACGAGGGAGCTTGGGCGTGTGATGTCCTCCTTGGTCCAAGCTCGCCGACAGGTCTGGTTAGCTCAGTCAGCGTTGACTGAGCCATGCCGTAGAGCCCTCCGTAATGTCCCAGTGGTGCCGGGGGAGTTGTTCGGTTCGGCTGCCTTGGAAGCACTGGAACGGACTGTCCAGGCACGACAGAGAAGGCAGCAATTTTCGAGCCTTAGCAGGCCAATGCCCCCTCCACCTCCTCGGCATCCAAGGCGCCTGTCGGCTGGCTCCAGCATGCAGCCGCCGCCTGGGGGTCATAACCGGCCGGGTGGTCCTTACCCTCATGCGGTTCAGCAAAGGCCCAGCAGGAGCTCTCGTGGGTTGGTCCACCGACCAGCTGGGCAGGCTCGGACCAGGGACTCTGGCTGCCGCCCCCCCACGGCCCCTAGGGGTCGTGGAGGGAGACGGTGATGCCATCAGGCCGACCGTCGGATATTTCTCCCACCAGCAGCTCAGCTATTGGGTTGCTCACGCCGTGGACCCATGGGTGGTTGCCACTCTGACCCATGGTTACCGGCTACAGTTCCGACGGCGGCCTCGTATCTCAGGCCGGGTCAAGATGACTGTAATCGCCGACCCGGTGAAAGCTCAAGCACTAGACCAGGAACTTTCCGCCCTCCTGGCCAAGGGCGCAATAGAGGCAGTGGACCCTCTGCAACAACCCAGGGGCTATTACTCGACTTACTTCCTTGTGCAAAAGAAGACGGGCGGGTTTCGTCCCATTTTAGACCTGAGGGGACTCAACCAGTACCTAAAGGAGCTGCCCTTCCACATGCTCACAACAGCAGAAGTCCTTCAAGCTGTCACAAGGGAAGAATGGTTCACGTCTGTAGACCTGAAGGATGCATATTTTCATGTGCCTATTGCGGCAGAACATCGCCGCTTTCTCAGGTTTGCCTATCGGGGTCACCACTGGCAGTTCCGGGTACTTCCATTCGGGCTCTCTCTCTCCCCAAGGGTGTTCACTCGGTGCGTGAAGGCAGCCCTCTCTCCTCTGCAGGCCTGCGGAGTGAAGATTCTGCCGTACTTAGACGATTGGCTTCTCTGCGCCCCGTCTCAGGCCTGTGCCTTTCACGACACAAACCGCCTGCTCGCTCATATGTCCCAGTTAGGCCTCAATGTCAACCTGGAGAAGAGCTGCCTGATCCCTTCCCAGACGACCACCTTTCTTGGGGTGGTTCTGGATTCATCTTCAATGAGAGCTCGCCCATCCGCTCAAAGGGTGGCCGGCATACTCCAGCTGGTCAATCGGTTCAGGCTGGGCAAGCAGCTCCCCTATGTTGCCTTCCTGCAACTACTCGGCAAGCTGACATCAGTCACTCGGGTGGTGCCCTTAGGCCTGCTGTCACTTCGCCCCTTGCAGAGGTGGCTCAACAGCTTTCGCCTGGATGCCAGG